CTGACTGTTCCACTGCATCAAATCGGGTTACTGAAGGAGCCAAGGTATGGGGCCACCTCGATCTATGACATTCCTGTACTCTTCTCATTCAGAAATTCAGTGATGCTGTCCAGAAATGCGGTGAATGGACGTTGTCCGCTGCCTCAAGTGTAATTAACGACGTTTTGAAAACTCGATAACTTTCCGTCATCAGGTAAAAGGGACGAAGGGTTCCTACTGCACTGACCCGACCTAAGTTGCATTTTCACCTTGCACTTGACGATCAAGGCATATCCAGTTTCCGAAACGTCGTGCACGTATGTTAAATATGTCACACACAATGAATAATGTACAATAATACTGAATCGCTCAATGTCACAAATCATTAAACAATCTTCAATGGCACTGTTTAGATCACATATTTTATACGAGCTTCGGAAAACTGTTGTATATACTGAACTCTTTTCCAAAATGTATGGGGGCCTCTAGGCTCGAATTCAGGTCACCTGCACGTTATTCGGCGTCACCGACAAATGTAAAAATAGTTGCAATTAGTCTCTATAGCGACTAGGCTACGGGCTTCACGACCTAGGAGTCGGGGTTCCATTCCAGGTAGGACCAAGGGATTTTTTTTCTCCATAAAGCCCAGGCAGACTCCTAGACAAAGGCAACTGGGGCCTCTTTCCCAAGAGGTACACGGCAGGGGCGTGAAGCTGACTGCTCACTTCCACTTAGTGTCGATGTTACGAATGGTGAGCTCTATTCTCCCGTACGTCTTACAGAGTGGTGCTTAATTAAGCTCAGGAATACTATACGTGTATGTTTTCCTTACCTACTACTGATCAATACGGAATACCAAGTCTGATAAAAGAAAGTATTAAGTGTGGTTTCATAAGACAGGCCTAACTTCCATTTCATTTCTTTAACTGTTTATCTCTCTACCATTAAAATCGTAACGATGACGCCAGAGATTATATTAAGAAAATGTGTCGACAGAGCGCCGCACGCGCTGGCTGCAGGTAATACTATTAATCGCGCCGGTGGGTGGATCTGCCAGCAAGAGTCCCTGTCGTCAGCTGTCGTAATTTGCACATAAAAGTGCTTATTTAGAAGTGCGTCTTGAAACCTGTCCTTAGTACTGTTTGTATTTTTCAGCACAACTGGATTCCAAGCAGGCGGTGCCTCTGGTACACGAGAAATACCACTACGGTTTGCTCATCGACGATTCCAGTAACTCGACCACACAGAGTCGAATGATTGGACGACAGGCAACTTGAAAATATGTGAAAAGACGCGGCAGTGGCGTAATTTAAGGTATTATTACAGCATCTGCCTAGGGGAACTGCAGAAAACCACAAAAATATAAGTCGAAACAGTCGATGTCCCAATCAGCAACGTTACCGCTTGAGTAGACTTGCTCGGTTTCGGTTGTTTGCGGCAGCGTTTCAATTCGAGAGATTGACGTCAACTACTGTCGTGAATTGCATTTTGGGGGAAGATCGGAGACCGAGTTCATGCAAACAGCATTTGGAGATGTAACAAGGAGCAGAATGTTACTTTAACGAGAGACGAATGCACTGAGAAAGTAACGACTGTTCCGGACACCCTCCAACCAGCAGAAACTATGAGAATCGATAGCAAAAGTGCGTGATTTAATGCGAGAAGACACGAGACTATCTGTGAAACGGCTGAAGAAGTAGCGATTTGTTACAGCTCATATGGGATTGAGGCCAGCCTCCACTGGATCAACGACACTTCACACAGAATACAAAACAAGCCGCTTCTCTGCGGTTTCTTTTCATACACACGCTCGAGTCATAGGCGAAGATAAAAACGAATATTTGGCGTATTAAGTTTAAATATTCAGACACAACGCTTCAATTAATTACAGTCCTCCTCGTATATGTACAGTATTACACAATACTATAATGTTCCTTTAGTTCTGTATGAGTGTGAGACTTGGTTGCGCGCATTAAGGGAAGGACGTACACAGAAGGCGTTTCAGAGCAAGGTGCTCAGGTTATTTGAACTTAAGAGGGATGAAGTAATGAGAGCACGGAGAAAAGTGCATAATGAGCAGCTTCATGACTTTCACGCCTCGTCAGATGCTATTAGAATATTCAAGTTAAGAAGGTTGAAATAGGCAGAGCATGTTGCACGCATAGGAAACAAAAAGAATGTAGGAAACCGTGAAGGAAAACTTAGACGTAGATAAGAGGATAATTTTAAATGGATCTTTGAAGAAGTCGGAAAAGGGAGTGGCTCAAAGACGGGCTCTCGTAAACACGGCAATGAACAGTCGTGTTCAACAAAATGCTGGATGCTGTGGAGAAGATAAAAGTTCTTGCACCCTGATGGGACTCGAATCCCGGCTGTCCAGCCCGTAGCCAACTGAGCTATCCTGCCAGCAACACATCATGCTTCCAAATAAGAAACAATACTAGGACGGCCCCTTTAGTGAGAATGTCAGAAGATGGAGCTCGAACGTAGAGTGAAGCAGACACATGATGGGGGAGCCTCGCAAACTGTGGCACCCATACGCCTACCCATGGAGCAGTAGAAGTGTGCCGTGCGAATCACACGTGACTTTGTTATTATTATTTTACTATCAAGCGTTTTATTGTTACAATACATGAATTCAGTCAGAGTATTCTACTGTCTAGAAAATGTGAGAGCCTCAACGTCTCCGACTCTATGGGCCTCCACGGGCTGTTACAATACGACAGCTTTATCTTTTACGTAGGGCAGTAAAGCGTGCAGTTTTACATGATGGACAAAATGCTGTTCTATGTGCAATAAAACAATTATTCATTATATTTAAAACTGTTGGTAATAAAAACACAGCCCACAATGGGACGGCCGTTTTATGTTAGTAACTCTTCTTCATATGACTGTCTTTCCAGACAGTGGCCAACAAACACAGGAGCAGTTCTAGTGAACGCGTCTGGAGGAAAATTGCCTATTCTGTGAGCGTGCAATTGTATGCCTTGTTTCAGTCAGTGATCTGTGAATGTATTAATGATCACATAAAACTGGATTGCTTATACTAATAAAAACAAATTGCCGGTACATCAATTCCCATTAATTAAAGTTGCGGTGAAATACTCAAAGCAACTAAGCGTAACCGTTCATCACCCGGGACGTGGTTGCTTTCCTTATCAGTATCATAACACATACGTCTAATAGCGGAAATTTTAAAGGAATAACACTCAAATTAAGAAATGAAAGTATACTCACGTAACTGAACAACAAACTTAGGGTTTAAATTCTTACAGTTGTAGCTGTGAAGGGTTTCATCTTCTGGCATACAACAACGCCATATAGCCTGTTTAAAGTTAACCAACGTTGAGGAAGAATATTTCGCCTCCGTTTTCAGGGTTGAAGAGTATGAACTGCTTACTGTCCGCTTCTTGCTGGTTTCTTACTTGGCGTACTTTTCAACCCTAAAGATGGAGGCGACATGTTCCTTCGAAATGTCGCTTGACTTTCAATGGATTACAAGGCGATATATCCCACAACTCTGTTAAACAAAACGTTCGGAATGAAGATCCCTGTCGCATCCAAACCCTACAGCAACATTTACGCACAGCTTCAATGACTCCAGCTACTGAACATAATGGCGGCAGTGGGGAGTCAATTTCATATTTTGAGGTGTTCCTTCTTAGTTCAAGGGAAGAGAAAAAACATTACTCTTGTATATATACACGTACGAGTAGACGTACCAAACAATGAATGAAGGTGCTCCCACCGAATGTTACAGCTCAGCATTCGTATTCGAAAAATACAGAACTAGTTTCTCTGCACAGAGGCCGAGTTGCATCACAAGCTATTCACTGTCTGGCTCACTCTACCCTGAAAACCCTTATACACACCGCTTCATTCCACATTTCTGTATTATAATTCATAATCTACAGTCACTATTTCATGCGACGATACTTCACCCATGCAGCTAAAACAGCAAAGATATCCATCGGTCATGACAGCTGTTGTTGAGCACATTTCGCATAACAGGGCTAAAATGTGCCGAAGCACCATCATGCAATTCTTTCAGCTGTAACTCACAGATTATGCCGCGCCATAGCTCAAGCGGTCAGTCGCTGGCTTCCATCGCGGCGACCCGGGTCTGGTCAAGTAGGATTTGTGGTGGACAAAGTGGCGCTGGGGCAGGTTTTCTCCGAGTACTTCGGTTTCCCCTGCCAATCTTCATTCCACCAACTGCTCCCCAATCACCCTCACCTATCATCTGGGGCTGGTACAATAGCCCAGAAGTGGTCGCAGTACAAGGGACTTAGTCCCACCCCACTAGCAATAAAAAAACTCATAAATTAAATGTTTTCGGACACGTGCTGACATGGACATTTTTTCTTGTTTCGGGACGTGGAACCCGTGCCCAAGGTTTGTCTACACCTTCAACTTAAATACTATATATAGTACTCGTTTCGTGCAAGAACAGGGTGAAGGTGTCCGAGAAGAAATTTATGTTCTCTGCTCCGACCCGAAACAGATATAAGGCGCAATTTTCATAAAGTTTCGTATTAATGTAAAAATATCGGCCTAATATTCTGGAGGCATGATATGAACGAGGTGTTTAACCAGCCCCAACCCGTTGCTAAAGTTTCGTGCGTACAACGCGTCCCGTTAAGTCAGCTATGATGAATCGAAAATGACAGGCGAGGAAGAAAAAAAGAATATTTTAAAGTTTAATCGTTAAGATGGATGGAGCCACCCTATTGAGTAGAAACAGCAGGGACATAGTGGTGATATGTCGAGAAACTCGTGCACATGGAACTGGAGCAGATCGATACGGAAAGCTGGGCGAATGCAGATTTTTTGCAAGAATTTAGTGGATGTTCGGATTGTAAAGGATTTCCTTTTCGAAATACGGCTACTGATGTGAAGGCAAAATAGCGTTTGCGGTACGAATGTTTCTGCGAAAGCAAACGTAAGGACGATACTATTCTAATGGAGGATACTTAGCGAGTTTCAACTGCGTTTACCAGCTTTAAATTGAGCTGACCTACCTTGAAGCTTGGCGGCGGTGGAGGCCAGGAGACCCTCCAGAGAACGTGAGTTGTGATGCAGCAGAGCCTGGAAGTCTTTGCGGACCAGCAGCCGTAACTTCGTCTCCATCTCCAGAGTGCAGCAGCTCTGTGCTGATTCACATACACTCAACGCTGACCCTGCAACATAAGACATGAGTCTGCAATGGTGACAGAAATGTACGTAGCGTTTGGCTGGAAAAGTTCGTGAGGAAAGTCCATAATAACGATCAACTTAATATCATTCACACTTAGTAACTGTGGTCAAGTGAGACGTCCCCTTATTAGGTCCATCTCAAGGACCCAACAAAGTAGGCTTCATACCTGATAGCGGAAGCAGGGTCATCTTCGGAAACGCTGCTTCTCTAACCAAGAAATGACGATAGAAGATGTTCACAATAAGTGTCAGTTTGATTAGTAACACACTCTGACACATTCCATATCTCATTGCATGGATGCATACACATACACGTACAGAGCCCAAAACTTTACAATATGAGGCCTAGTTGGTTTCGTACGCCGCAAGATGCTGCACTACGGGCTGTCGCCACGTGACAAAGGTTGAGAAAGAGAGCCGTAGCTAGTCACCTACACGCAGTCTCAGCAAAGAGTTCATATGCGCTGCAGTAACTGTAGATCACCTAAAGCAGTGCAATAATCCTTCTGCGTTCGGTATCCACGGTTTCTAATTTCAGAACGCATGCAAAAGGTATGCACAACCACTGTCATCGCTGTCATCGTCGTCATGAATCAGTTCTTTAAGCAGAAGACCTTTAATGTTTTAAATATGAGCAACTAACATGATGACTGTAGTGATCTGATCAGGAGCGTATAACGAATGAACATGTTACTTTTAAACATGTAAACGATAAGGTCGCGGCACTGCTCCGGCGGTTAGCTGGCTTCACACCCCGGAGAATCAGGTACAATTTGCGGTGCATGAAGTGACAATGGAGTACGCTTCTCTGAGCTCCTTAGGATATGTTCTGAGACACTGTCAGTATCTGGACTATACAGCGTCGAATGGTAAGAATGATGAGTAAAGAATTCGGAAAGCATCGAGAGCGAACGATCGTGAGATCTGCGTGGAGAGACTGAGGAAAATCACGAACTCCTCAGTGATAACAGCCTGTGTCCGGGCCGAGATTGAAAAGGAGCACTTCCCGAAAAGAACTTTCGAACGTTAACACTATACTAACATGCTTGGTGAGTTTCTTCGGTGTTCCCCTTCTAATAATCATACCACCATTGCTGCCTACTCATCGGCACTGCGCCTGAATTGTGTGACAGCTCTGGCCAGATGGCACATCCTTGGTCTCTCAAGCTGTGGGCCTCATTTCTGACCCGGCACTTGGCTCTTTACAGAATAACGAAGTTCATGCTGATTACGCGGTACATCTCTGCATATTTTGTTTAGCGAAGGCACAGGCCTTGACGAGAGTAAAAACGGCCGTGACTCGCTTAACCTCAGATTCTGCATAAGGCACAGGAACATAACTCCAGCGGCAGGAGAGGGATTTTAGGCGACGGAATCACATAGCGTCGCGTCGCGTAGCGTCTACCGTTACTGTCGTGAAAGGAGGCGCTGTGTTACCCCCTTGATTGATTCTAAGTCATTTTGGCGATGGTGTTTTGACTGAATTGGTTATAAATCGTCGAGTGAGATGGCAATGCAACTCGACTGTTCAGAGGGTGAGCATTTGGAAGACAGCACCAATTCCAGCATTCAGCTGACGAAGGAAAACCAAAAAAAAAAATGCACTAAGAATAGAGAACCTCCTGGGGCCAGAGTCTAAAGGGGGGGATTTTGATTCTGAAGGAGGAGTGCTAATTATGGCATTTGTTTAAGACGATCCTTGATTTTATGAGCGGAAATATGGGAAAAGTTACCTTATACGCAAGTGCGAGTTGGGTATCTAGTACGGTTTTATGAAAGATGCGTCTGGTTTCCAGTCACGCCTGTCCAACGACTCGTCTCGGCAGACTATAGCCTACATGCAGCACACAGGTGACACATCCAAGTTCCGGGTCAAGTCTTACTCACTGTCACTTTCATATTTATAATTTTATGCCAAGTGCACAATACCACACACGCACGCACACAAGGCTTCCCTAAGTCTGGGCTCTTATCTTACTTAGCATATGCTAAGCTTAGTCATTTGAACGGCCGTAAGCCAGATCGCCGTCAAGTTTAAGCCTCTTACATTTCGTGTGTCGGGCTTCGCCTTGTCCTGCAATGCGAACATTTGACTTGTGTTGCTGCCTGGGAGAGTTGACACGGAGCCGTACGTTGCACTGTTCGGAGCCGGGCGGGGTATGACGTGACCGATCGCACCACTGCCCCGCGGCGGTGCAAGCAGGAACCAGCTCAACAATTGAAAGGAATCAGAACAGAATAAGAAAGAAAAGAAAAACAAATATAGAAAAGTTATAAAAGAATGAAGGAAAGACACACAATGCAGAGCAAAGTCGCTAAGCCTGGTGCTCTTCTGGATTCGTAGGTTTCCAAGAATGGAATCGTGTATACGTAACATACACGTACTTCCTAATGTAGTTAACGTAAGGAAGAGAAGGAAGAATGGGCCTCCTATTTTTCGGAATGTGACGCCGTGTAGTCCTCTGAAAGGTCACCGGTATTTCAATGGAACGCTCTGCCTCCAACCTCGGGTTCGCCGGAACGCTAGGCAAGCAGCAAAGCAGAAAACAGACTCAGCTTGCCGCCCGCTTCTTGCTCCTTGCTTCCGCAGCATGTCTGACCCCCTGAAGATGGAGGTTGTACATTCCGCCGAAACGTCTGTTAACTTCTACTGGACTACACGACCTCACATCCCACAAACACCAGCACCAGAACCTCAAGTCAAAAACAGATAATGAAGCACTGGATTCCAAGTTAATTTAACAAGTTTCTTTCAGCAGTAAATAGTAAACACAGTCATGTTGGAGAGTTATATGGACGAATTCGGTTGTGGTTCACTTTACAATACTATTCCACGATTTGCCTATCTGGACACAAAAATCATGAGTGACGTGAAGAAAGTGGGCCTCTGTACCGAGAATAAAACCCAGGACTTCACCAAAACGAAGCAATTATTTTGGTTTACTTAACACTTTGCTTGAATTGTAAGGATTATTGCCTGTATGTAGGCTGTATCCAAATGGGAAACGCAGTTATGAATATTGAGGTGGGACATGCGGACACTTTTAGGCCGTTAGCAGGTGGGACAGCGGAAATCTGAAGCGTAAAGCAAGTGCCTGGTCTACTGAAGCGACAACCATTACAGTGCGTTATCGCGTCGTTTACGGTCTGAACAGCCTACATGGACGCAGACGTCGTGTAGAGTCACCGAGAACGATATTTCTCAACCCGTGATCTACTGATCGCTGCCGGTTCAGAAATTCTCCTTAAGAATAGTTATTAGTTAGTTATTTGAGAGAGGGTGGGTTTCCCCATGCACCGCGACCAGTTTGATCTATTGTGCTTCCCTCTATGATATTCTACCAGTCTCTATACCCTACCGATAAATGGTGCGTACCATCAGTCCCGCCGAGCAAGCGAGTTCGGTCACTTGCTTAGCGGTGTCTATAATGCTTCCCCCATCTATCAGAGGCCTTAGAGACTATTGTTGGGCGGGAAACGTCCTGGAATTTGGCTCAGTGATCCCCTTTGGGGATATGAGGTTCTTTTACGTGCCGTAAAGTTACGACACGGGACACACAGCTTAAAGTCCCCCCCGGAGGACTTGTTCCCTGAATTTTTCCGCCCTTAAAAATTCGACGACCTCCGCCGGGTATTTGAACCCGCGTACCACGAGTCATGAGGTGGGAACGTTACCTCTAGACTACGGAGGCCGCTCTCCTTAAGAATACATCACATTCATTTGAAAATGCTTCGAACAATTACGGCTTGAAATCTGACTCCTCTCTTTTCGTAACATTTCAGCGACTAAGGCGTTCGTGTTGAACAGTGCGATAATAATAATAATAATAATAATAATAATAAAACTCCGTGGCCTGTAGTCTGCAAGCAAACTATACCGACCGAGCGACCGTCGCTTGTCGGCGAAGTTAGTGCCAACTTTTGCCGATACAGAGTGTCACGTGGTCAGCCCAACGGATCTCCACGGCCGTTAATCTCGGTTTTCTAGACGGGAGCCGCTATTTCCTTGAAACAGCTCCTCAATTATCCTCACGAGGCTGAGTGGACCCCATTCCAGACCCACTACTTCTGAGAAAATCTGGTAGCGCCGGGAATCTAACCCGGGACCTCTGGATCTGTAGCCAAGAACACTGACCACTAAACCACAGAGACGGTCTTACGGCCAAAACAGACAAATAATTTATTACCTAATTTGTCCACAGGAACTAGATAACTTCGGCAAATTTCACCATCTGCATAGAAACCAATTTTATACACGAAGTTCTGGGAAAAAAAAAATATCGTACTCCCCTTTCACTGCAAAATGAGTATTTCATACGAAGCGGGCCGCACAGAAAACACCGCGTCCAACAGTTCATCTACTGTTGCGTGTGCATCCGTGTTCACCGAGCCGTTGCCTAGTAGCGATACGGGGGGACATACAGACACACAGCCAGCATGGCGAACTCAAGAGCCTCCTTTTTTCTTATTCAAAATAAAGAAAGCAGGCTAAAAATGGGTTACTTCTATAAGTAATGAATTACCAAATGTTTGAATATCAGTTTTAGTTACAAAATAAATGGAATTTTCCTGAGCTATGCTATTTCCGCAGTTCCCTTTTCCTTAACAGGGCCAATTCTTCTCCTTTTCCCTTTACCTTGTGAGGCAGTAAGAGGGGGGAGGAATACTCGGAAACTCCTCAGCTTTTTAATATGTCCATAAATACGCAATCATGGTCGGACGAAATAATAACATTAATATGGATATCGCAGACCAGACGGAGGGGATGTAAATTATATTACAGCGACTCAGGAAACGCTTTCTCGGTGGCGAAGAATCTTTGGTTTTATATACTGTGTGGTAGTTGAGCAACACTGCACATGTACGACTCGCAACAATTTTAAGCTGCATACGGCCATTTCATTTGTACACCTTGCTGCATAAAAGGGTAAGAATATATTTGACAGTCTGTTTGTACTGAAGTTCCAGCTGTGATGTGGGTAAA